ATGCCTACTAAAAAATATATATATATTTGAAATAAACAAAACAAATATATCACATAAAAAAATACACTCTAATATTCAACATAAAATAAAATTCAATCCCACTGGATGTATTTAAAAATATAAACAGTGTGTGCATGTCACTTCTATAATGGAATATCAACCCGTATATCTAACGTAACTGTTCAATTTTAAGGAGCGATAGATATATATTGCAACATAGTAGTTGCTGCTGGCTTTTATATCGCTCAGTATATTCAGGTGTAGTAGGCCAGATGATCATTTCCATGACAAACAATTATGTGTTTATCACTGACCATCTGCCAAGCCTGTCATCACCTTTTGAGATGAATATTTTCCACACTGAAAAGCATCCTGGTGTTATAAGTTTGTGATCCATAAACTTTATACCTGCCTTCAGGTAAGCATCAAACGTTGATTCACGAATTCGTTCAATTCTGGAACCCTGGATCCTTGTAAAGTGAACTCATTATTTGATATCATTTCAGTGTGAAAAATTCACTTGAATACATGAATAAACCTTGGTACTTGAAAGGACTATCATTTGATTACTCAATAGACTGCTGATATATAACAGATACACGTCCCTGAGTAGTCTCAAGCCATACAAGCAGTCTGTTTTGTTACAATATACCAACTATATGACCATTGACCAAAGTGAGGTAATCTTCATGTGAAAAACACTGCTCTTTCGAAATCAGGATGTAACCCTGTACCTCGGAAACGAAGCAAGTTTAGGACACATGTTTATATGACCTTTATTCATCATATTATATCACAAGACAACATCCCTTGAATTATTTCGGTGTTATTTAGATACACCCTGTATAGATCATTCTTCATCCCAACATTTTTCCCATAGCGAAGTTCAGCAAATACCGATGGCGAGAGCACTATGTTCATTGATTTGATGTCTACCTATAATATATGTAAAACAAGAAGGCACAACTATACTAGTGTTCCGTTCCGAAGTACATTAAATTGACAAACTTGACTCCAAAATAATTCAGGCACGCGCCATTATTCATAACGTGGTTACTGCTGCCCGTTTACGTTTCCCCACCGCTTAGGGAACGATCGGGCGTGTTCGGTGAACACACGGGTATGATCTCGAGACTCTTGTGATATGATCGCTCTCTCATTGCAGCGGCGATCAAAAGATCTGACACCGTCCATGTGCGACATGATCACTGAAGACGAGTGTACTTGAAAGATTACGATATTATCATTTATTTATTTGGATATAGTAGTACAGAAAATTTTGAGAGAAATATATAAATTATGTCTCACTAAGTTGAAACCACATGGAAAACTACTTTTTTATCATTCATTTTAAGAAAAAGGCTGACCTATTCTTCATATCTTTGGTATCTTCAGTTTTTTGTTGTTTCATGATGAAAAAAAAAGTTTGATGAAAGGTTGCTGACTCGAATCCCGACGGAGCAGAATATTTTCATAGCTATCAATATCAATAGCTATCTCAATTAATGATGGTTCTACAAAAACGTTGAAATGGGCAGATATGAAGTATTTTTTATGAGCATTCAGAATTCAGTATCAGGAAATGTAAAAATAATCGTAAACCTACAAATTCTACATAAACTGGTAGTTTTCAAATGGATAACCCTGTATTTTATTTCTCTAAACGGTATAGCTCTCTTTTATGATTTCAAATATACATTGTCATTCAAAAAGTCGGCATCATATGGGAAAAACTTTTATTAATGACTTATTTTGAAGTTCGAGTTGGACGTTAAGTTTTGCTTCAAGAAAGATGAAAAATGACCTACTCAATCGGGGTCACGTGACTTTCGCTACCTGTCAAAAGTGAACATTTTTCAAATTAATCGCTGAAAGTAGGCTTATTTGTTCGAATATCGAAAAAGTTCACTTGAAAAAGTTGTTTCTATGTCAATTTTACATATGTGACTCGGATTTTATCTTTCTATTACATTTTTTAGATTTTGATTTTTTTTAAATCTTTCGATCTTTCGTTGCAACGCTGGTCCAGTAGCGATTAAATTTAAGATTCATTCATTCCGTAAAACTCCTGAAGGTTGATTTTGATTTGATACGTAAAGTAGTTCGATGATATTTTGATCGATGGTTTCGGCATCTTTTCAGTACTGAAAAAATCAATTTAAATGAATTTCGTTTCTGAATGCTTGACTCAAACATAACAGAATTTTGAAGCGGGGATTATCATTTTCTGAAGAAAATCATATTTTTGATACGTGTTATTAGTATTAGTGATAATTAGTAATTGAAAGTTAGTAGCATGATGAAGCTACTGTTATGAAGTAGTTTTATGGAATTGACAATTATTGTGATATTACAGAAATTTTGAAAATTTAAAAAAATATCAAAATCTAATAAATGTAATAAAGAGATAAAATCCGAGTCACATATGTGAAATTGAAATAGAAACAACTTTTTCAAGTAAACTTTCGATATTCGAATAAATAATAAGCGTACTTCCAGCGATTAATTTGAAAAAATTTCACTTTTGACATGTAGAGAAAGTCACGTGACCCCGATTGAGTAGGCCATTTTTCATCTTTTTTGAAGCAAAACTTGACGTCCAACTCGAATTTCGAAATAATTCATTAATAAAAGTGTTTCCCATATGATGCCGACTTTATGAATGACACTGTATATACTTCCTTGAGATTATAGGTGTAAAACGCCAGACGTCAATGCTGCGATTTCTGGCGTTCTACAGCTGACTAATAATCTATATTTTTCGAAAATTGACAAAGATAACTTTAATAAAATATATACAGGGTGTCCGGAGATAAAACCGACAGAACTCATGGGGTTATAGGGACCGTCAATATAATTGCAAAATGCCATATACAAATTTCCAAAACCGCTTCGTTACTGACATACAGAGTGAATTTTGGATTATGACATAAAATTCAATCCGCCATATTGAATACAGGGATTTCCCGATTGGGTTCAAATTTGGTACATGAATTTAACTCAAAGGCTTCAAACAGTAGCCCTTTGAACGAAACCAATAACAGGACCGGAATATTATTTTTTTTCTATGTTGCGTTATTGTGAGAATAACTTACCTTGTATGATAATTATCAAAAATCTGAGTTCATATTAAGAATATAAGGGAAAAATACTATAGGAACTTGTTGAGAAAGTTTCTGGCAGGATATCAGTCATTCCGGAATGAATTATTATTTAATTTTTTTCATGAATTGGCGGATAAAATATCAGCAAAAATGGCGTCGAAACCAAAACATAATTGTTGTTATTCTCTTTGATAATTTCGTAGATATATTTTATAATACACTATCGTGACCTAAAAAAACTGAAGAATACATTCGTATCAGGACCGGAATGACTGTTTTTCATGTTCTTGTAAGTACAAGGTGTCCCTAAAAGGTCTGGACATAATTTTAGCACATAGTCCGGAGGTCTAAATAAGTCGATTTGAAGCAACTTACCTGAATCCGATATCGCTCTATTTCTGAGATACAGGGTGGTAAGTTTAAAAAATAATTGTCGAATTTTCTCGAAATTTTTATTGGAACGTTTCACTTCAAAAATTAGTATCCGGGGGCTTTTTGGCATGCGGGACCCGAATACGGACAACTCTTCACTGTGGCCATTAGAGGGCGCTTACCAATGCACTTCTCATAGTCTAGAATGGCCATAACTTTTTCTCAGTGTACTTTTTCACTTTTTTTGTTCATGAAATGACTTTCTGAATATTTCTAAGCAAAAAAGTTACCTCTGTGAACATTCGCTAAAGTAAGCCGTTTTCGAGATATTTCGGTTTCAAGTGTTCGATGCCGCACCGGAATCTTTAAATTATTTTGAAAAAAAAACCAGTTATGTGAATTTTTTAGCTTTACGAAGCTTTTTCGGACTTTTTAGTACCAGATTCTGAATGCCCATAAAAAGTATTTAATTTTTGCCCGTTTGAAAGTTTCTGTTAACACCAATATATTAACTTCAATAGCTATCGAGTAAAATATAATCAATCACCCTGTACATAGGTATAATAAATGGTTTCCATAATACCTAATTGTGAAAAATTTTGAAAAATCTTATATTCGACAAAAATATAAATTAGGTAGGTAGTGCAAAAAAACGAGCAGAATCCTGATGATATTTCATCAATACCTATACTCAGACAAAATCAACAAGACAACAACAAAAAATAAAAGGCGTTTATTCTGCTTTCGAGGAACAACGAACAAAATGAATTATTATAAAAATATGGTAGTTTTTATTTGGAACTTCGAAAAACCAAAGCCTTATGGTGAAATACCATGCAATTATTTATTCTCATAAATATAGGCAAGAAGCCTATTTTCTCACAGAAGAATAATAATAATATTGATAATAGTGGCCATTGCAATTACCTTTGTGAATAAACATACGTTATTCCTTGTCCGGAATGAAACGAATAAAGTTATAATATTCATCATTTCTAATTCTTACTATTTCAAAAAGCGATTCAGCACCGGTGGTGACGTCACAGCCTCTCCGCTCCCCACTAAATTTGCCAACGCACGTTTAAATGGAACTGAGCTATCTGTAGTGTATGGTCCTTGTGTTGCGTATACATTGAATATGCATAAGCGTTGAGTCACGTGGTGTCCCAAAGTCAAGGAGGTCGGACTATACCAGACGACACATGCAGCTCGGGATTTGATGATGTTGGCTTCGAGCTGTGACTGCCACCTGGTGCCTTTTATTGAAGATTTTCTTCCACTCCTTAAAAGAAATTACTACTTCTACCTACCACTATTATTACTCCTACTTCTACTAGTACTACTACTACCGGAAGTGAGTACTGCTCCATTGACCTTCAGTTTCAGTCTCACGCCTTTTTCACGTCTATTAATATCATTTTCTGAAGTGTCCTTCAAATTCTAGCGGAATTTAGCTTATGATACCGGAACATTGCAATAGAATATACCTATTTACATACCATAATGATTTTGTTTTACTTTCAGATTCTCCCACTGCTTCTGATGTATTAGCGAAAGCGACAGAAGAAGATTTATACAAAATTATAAAATATTATGGAGAAGAAAGTTTAGCCCGGAAAATTGCAAGAGCTATAATAGAAGTGAGGTACCTATTCAAAACAGTTACCACTACGGAAGATTTAGCGATATTGGTGGAATCGGTTTGTACACATTCTCATAGAGTGGATAAATTACAAAGGAAAAGCAGTGTTGCCACCAAGACTTTTCAAGCACTCCGTATATTTGTCAACAATGAGTTGAATGAAATCAACTATGGACTGATTTTGGCACACAAATACCTGAAAATAGGTGGTCGAATTATAACCATAACATTTCATTCCCTTGAAGACACAATTGTAAAAAGACACTTATTCGGGAATATAATACAAAACACAGTGAATACCCTTCCATTGAAATACACGAGTCACTGTACTCATATAGAGGAATCGTTTGTCAAAAATATAATGGATCGCAAATGGAAAATGCTCCATGGACATGTTTTAGTGCCAAAGTATGATGAAGTGGAAATGAACCCTAGGAGTAGATCTGCTAAACTTCGTGCTGCTGTTAAAACTTGCTGAATTAAATAACTTAGTCAAAAATAGAAATCAACTGGTTTTATTAAATGAATGCATGTTAAATTGTAGCTTTTATTATTACTTGAGTACATCAACAGAAGTGGACATCAACAAAGAACAGTTTTGGAGAAAGATTGCCACTTGGCCATTTTATGTATTGCATGACAGAACAATCACAAACTAACCCAAGAAGGATGTCATCGTTTCTGTGAGTCTGCCTGGGCAGTTGAATAAAATACCACTGTGTTTCGGATTGGAATTTCTACATCTACATCATGAGATATCAAAATTGCTCATTATTTATTTACAATATCAATAAAATGGAAGGAAGCTGATATATAATTATCATGTATGCAGGGCTTCCAACTTTTCACCTTGTATTTTTTCGATCTGCGGTGTTAGAATTTCCAGGAAAAATAGGTCGATTTAGATATGGAGGGGAAAGTAAAATACCTATACCAGTATCGATTGAACGCTTCGTTCATCCCCTTCACAAATGGCACCCCTACATCGAGATACATGAAATTGAAAGTCTAGCAATAACCAAATCAACCAGGTGAAAAAAAAATTTTTTTCTGTGACGAGAAAAAAGTGACATTTCATCTCTGTCGAAAGGTTAAAAAATGCCTTGAGTTCATAGTAGTACATTATACATCAAGGGACATAAATGCAAGATTTTTTCCAAGGTTGGCCCAGCCAGCTTTGGCAGCCCACTTCACGTAGGTACTAATTCTCCAGGTTTTTGCGTTCTAGAATTGAATTTGATGCCTTAAAATATTATATTCCTTCTTGGCATGAAGTATTTTTGAAAGTTGTCCAGAGCTTCCTGATAGGATGTTGGCTGAATTTCAAACTGTGCACAGCTACCTCTTCTGTCTTCTGATTCATCTCCCTCCTATACATGAGGATATCGCTTTTTTCTTTCTCTGGTTTTGAGAGCTGCCCCGAGACTGACATATATCTCTGGAACCTTTTTCGCCAGGTTATTGGCCATGCAGCAGGTACTGAGAAGTTGAATTTTTCCGTAGGTGTGACATGAATGGGAGCCATAACTTGTACCTGGTTGTGTTGTCCCAGAAGCATAACTCCCTTGAGTAATTTGTCCTGTTGTTGGAAGTGAAGGCATTTTAATTTTGTTGTGTGTTTGATTTCAACATGTAATGTTCACGTCCTGTGGTATAGGGCAATCCAGCGACTATTAACCCAACAGCGAAGCGGGAACGCACCGCAGACAACTAGAGTCTCGAGATCATACCCGTGTGTTCACCGAACACGCCCGATCGTTACCTAAGCGGTGGGCAGACCGAGACGTAAGCAAACGTAAGCAGGCAGCTATGATACAAATGATACAATGAGTGGGCAGGCAGCTTCTCTCATGCTGTCTCTGTTTTTGCAGTACGGGGTGGGCCACCAACAGTTTTCTTTTGATCACATTTCAACATTTTTTTTTTTCTAATAAATCAGAAACATTCGATAGGCATCAAGTGATCTACTGCGATCTATCAGATAATGAAAGTGATGATTTGATTTGCAATAATTCGCTATGTCACGACGAGTCCTACATGTGAATAGGACGCTCGTTTTATTCAAATTATTTTCGATAATGTTCATCTGCTTCACTAGAAATTATTATTGTTAGTAGTAGTAGTATAGCAGCTTTGTTATTCAAAATGGAACACCTTTTACATATTTCGATTCTTCTAATTGAGCTATGATTTCGTTGATCAAGCTCAAGGTATACCTATACGTAGAATGTGAAAAATCGAGATTTTTTTTGTATCGAAACTATACAATACCTATATTGATTTGTCAAACTGGCTTACATATGTGTCCCTATCCTAAAACATTCTATTTACTATATCTACTGATGCCATTTAATTGAAACAAATGCAGGGTGGATCAGAATTCAGAATTATATAAAAGAAGTACTAGTATGCCTACTGAGAAAAAATATATATATTTGAAATAAACAAAACAAATATATCTCATAAAAAAAACACACTCTAATATTCAACATAAAATAAAATTCAATCCCACTGGATGTATTTAATAATATAAACAGTGTGCATGTCACTTTCTAATGGAATCAACCCGTATATCTAATGTAACTGTTCAATTTTAAGGAGCGATAGATATATATACCAACTATGACCAATGTGAGGTAATCTTCAGTGAAATACACTGCTCGGGTCATGGACCCACCAACATTTCCGGAAAATGATATTAGGAGGCAAGATAGGTTGAAAATCACTTCGGATTCGAAATCAGGACGTAACCCTGTACCTCGAAAACGAAGCAAGTTTAGGACACATGTTTATATGACCTTTATTCATCATATTATATCACAAGGAATCATCCCTTGAATTATTTCGGTGCTATTTAGATACACCCTGTATAGATCATTCTTCATCCCAATATAGTTATTCAACATTTTTCCCATAGCGAAGTTCAGCAAATACCGATGGCGAGAGCACTATGTTTATTGATTTGATGTCTACCTATAATATATGTAAAACAAGAAGGCACAACTACTAGTGTTCCGTTTCGAAGTACATTGAATTGACAAATATTTGACTCCAAAATAATTCAGGCACGCGCCAATATTCATAACGTAGTTACTGCTGCCCGTTTACGTCTCCCCACCGCTTAGGGAACGATCGGGCGTGTTCGGTGAACACACGGGTATGATCTCGAGACTCTAGTCCGCAGACAAAGGAGATTTTTCCGATTATTGCGGGATTATTCACTCGAGAAGACCACCAAAGCTGCCACCATGTTATGTTGGGGGAACCTGTTTCTATTGACCTGGAAATACCTTTTTTTTTTTTTTTCTTTTTTTTTTTGTGGGGGGGAAACCGCTTGGCACCAGGACCTCAGTTTCTATCAGTCCTGGTAGTGTCGGGCGCTACTCCGACTAAAACCCCCCTTGTCCCCCTGACATGACGGAATCGTCTGGTTGGACATACATCATCATGCATGTCAGGCTTTCAGCTCATGCATTCTGGGCTACTCTTTCCTCCTCCTCTTTCTTTCGCATGATCTCTTTCAGTGCTGAGTGTATACAGGTCCAATCCTGCTTGCTCCCTATCATCCTGCGAGTAAGACTGTCAGGATTAATGACCTCGCCCAGCTCCATCTCCATCCTCAGCCTAACCCTTTCCCACCTTTGACAGTGAAAAAGCGTGTGTTCAGGGGAGTCCTCCATTCCACAATATCGACACTCTGATGTTTCCGACTTCTTTATTCGATGTGTGTATGTTCCGAATGACCCATGTCCTGTTAACACCTGCGTCAGGAAGTACTCGGTAGTCCTGTGTTCACACTGCACCCATTGCCTCAAGTCCGGTATCAACCTTTTGGTCCACTGAGCCGTTTCTGTCCATCCGTGCCAGTCCTCTTGCCATGTATCCAGGGTCCGCTGCCTGGCTCTCTTCTTCTGCTCCACCTGATGCCCATCTCCTCTCCTGTACAGGTCGTTCCTTTCGTGTGCCAGTAACTCAATTGGTGGTGTGCCCGTGACGACCCTCAGGAGTATCCTGCGCTGCACTGCCGCTAATTTCCTTCTGTACGACTCAACCCTCATCGCTGTATGCCATACCGGTACGCCGTACAGTAGGATCGACTGTACCACCCCTCCGAGAACTGCTCTTTTGCAGCTACCCGGCCCCCCGATGTTGGGCATGAGCCTGGATAGTGCTGCTACGCTACTCTCTGCCTTTTTTGCGGCTAGCTTGCAGTGTTCTCCAAAGCTTTGCTGGTCGTCGAGGACCACTCCCAGGTACTTCACGTGCTTGGACGGACTCACTCGTTCCCCGTCGATGTGGAAGGTGACGTTTCTCCTTCGCGGACCCCTTAGGATCACCACCTCCGTTTTCTCGGCTGCCACCTCCAGGCGGTGTTTCTTCATCCACCGTATAAGTCTCCTGGCCGACTCTTCTACTCTATATACGAGTTGCCTCTCTTCTTGGGCCGTAACGACCAGGGCCAGATCGTCCGCATACGCTATTGATTTCGCGCCATCCGTGAGGTCGACTCCTAGGACTCCATCATAGAGTATGTTCCACAGGTCCGGTCCTAGGATGGACCCTTGTGGAACCCCTGCCGTGATCCTCATGTCCTCCCCGCTGACTCTGATGCGTCTTTCCTCGAAATATGCTTTGATTACGGTAACCAGGTACCTTGGCACCCCTCTCTCTACCAGTTCTTTCAAGATGAGACTCCACGTTGCCACATTAAACGCATTTCGCACATCCAGCGTAATCAGTACGCACCATCTATTATCCCTTACCTGGGCCGTCCTCGTCACCGCCTCGACTGCGTCTACTGTCGACCGTCCCTTGCGGAAGCCAAACTGGTTCGGGGATAACCCACGTCCCGCCTCTACAGCTTGCCGCAGCCTCTCTCTCAGCATGCTTTCGTAGAGCTTGCTCACAGCGTTTAGCAGACACAAGGGTCTGTACGCTGCAGGATCATCCACTGCCTTGTCTTTACCCTTCGGTATAAATACAAGGCGAGCTATCTTCCATGATGATGGAAACTCTCTTCTGCTAAGCAGGCCATTCACCAAACTTAGCACCCACTCGGGATATGTGCTGCATGCTACTTTGATCGCTTCCGCCGGTATACCATCTAGTCCAGGGGCCTTGCCGTTCTTCAGACGCTCTGCTGCATTCATCAACTCCTCTTCGGTGAATAGGTTTGGCTCTCCTTCCATTGCCAAGTCAGGCAGGTGTGGAATCACGTCATTCGTCTTGGGAAAGAGCCTCGTAGCGATGTTCTTCGTCTGTTCCTCAGTCAGTTCCATGGGATGTTGGTTGGATAGCCGTCCAATCGCTTTCTTATACCCACTTCCCCATATGTCTTCCTCCAATTCGGAGCAAAGTTTCTTCCAGTGCTCTCGCTTTGCCTCATTTATGAGCTTCTTGAGTGTCCTTCTCTCTGCTACATACTGCTCTTTCAGTTGAGCCTGGACATTGGCTGGGACATCTGTGCGGCTTGAGATCCTGCATAGCCGTCTTCTCATGCGGGTGCACACGTTTCTCCTTTCCATGATCGCGTCG